TTGAAAATGTCCAGAGGCAAGTTACAAATATCCCGAGTATTAAAGCATAATAATGAATTAATATAATACAACTAATTATATTTCAGATCATTATTGACTACCAGCTGTTGAGTATATCATATTACATTTTTTACTAGGGTACCCACCCTCTATTTCAGAAAAATTTCAGAGGCGATTGCCTCTGAAATTGCCGTTCACCACGCCACTGAATTACCTACCTAAATAGTGAATTAATGTATTAATAAGTTATAACCACTGGTTTTATTTTAATATTAAAATACGAAATGTATAAGATGATTCTTACCAATTAATAATTACCTACAATTATTAAATACCTATCAGTAGCTTATTAAGTAGGTACTTGGTAGTTAGTTCTAACCTTAGTTTAGTTTTATTGTTTAATGGACTTATCAATTTATTTGGGTTTCTTGATGACTGGGACCTTGACATTATATTAATATGGTTCGTTGTCGATGAAACCTTGATATTCTTGATAACACTTTGAAAATCATTACGATATAATATAATGTTGCACATTTGTACCTATCATAATTCATAATTAATAATAAAGCATTTCCAATAGTTTTTAAATTTACAACACGAAATATTATTAGATAAGTTTATCAGCAAGTGTGTCTGCCGATTGGTTAGTATCTACCTAAATGTTATAACTTTCGATGTTCAAATTTCAACAAAATTGAATAAATATTTATTTACACAAAAATCATCGTTCTTATTATTATTATTATTTTTTTTTTTTTGTAATTTAAAAAAGATTTTTCATAGAGACTATAGAAACTTTTTGTTATTATGTATTTTCTGTGTATAAAGACAGTTTCAAAATATTTAAACTAATTTTAATCTACTTATATATACCACCTCGACAACCTCGTATACCACGAACCTACCTATTTATATCTATTTGAACCATTCTACGATACGTCAATATTGAGTAGGTATTAAATATTACAACCTATCAAGTTATAATAATTAATAAGTACCTACCTAATGAACGTATGATATAATAATTAATATTAGAATAATTGTTAATAATATATTTGGCCGATGAAATTGTCAAAATTAGTTCAACCAACCGTATTACTAATAATAGAGCATAATATTTCTAACACAGATATTTAAATATTTTTATAAATTACTAATAGTAGTTAGTAGTTACTAATAGTAGTATACTACGAGGTTACCTATATTAAATATATAATATTATGATATGTGAATGTGATACTGTGATAGTAATATAGTATCCATAGAAATTTTCTTTTCCAATCAAGATCGTATTCCTTATAGGGAGGTAGGTACATTGTACCAATACGCAGTGGTGTCATTTCAGTTTTTAATAGAAGGGGTCATACGTTTTGGCTAGACCAAATGGGTAACTAAAAAAAAACCAAGACGTGTATTTTTTTTGTGCGTTGTGTACTCGATAAGTAGTCGAAAATTTTTTCGAATTTCAACTTTGGTATCTTTTCTGGTGGAAAAGTGAATCTAGTTGGCAGTTATGAGAAGTCAAAATGGAAAATTCCGATTAGTTATCAAAAGCGCCGGAGAAAAACAAAAAAAAAATAAGGAAAACGGGAATTTTTACGCAAAACCAGTTTTCGACAAAATCGATTTAATTTTTTTGGTAGAACTAAATAACTGTAGACACATGAAATTTTCACCAAATATTTATATTAGCATATGTTATACATCATGCAATTTTCAAAATATTAAGATATTTATCGGGATTTGAAATATGAAATTTTTTTATAAATATCGATAGAACTATTTTTGCTGGGTCAAAAAGCTTTCATGAAAATGTAATTCTAGATTCCTCATACGCTGTTATATGTGCAGATTAAAAATATTGAAGGCATATAATAGACACGATTTTTTATAAAGATTTAAAGTTCATTTTTGACAAAATTCATTCAGATCATGACTATTTGCATATTATTTTGTAGTTAAAAAATTATAAAATATTTAGTTGTTATAACTAAGGATTGGAAATTTAAAATAAGGTTTCTCATAACTAGTTTATACTGTAACCAAAAAATAATATTATAGGCACCTACCTACCTATATTTTAAGTTTAAATTTGAACGAAATTAGATACCTATTCAAAGTGTTTTAAACGAAGATAGTTATTTATGCTGTTTTGTTGTACTTTAAATAATTTATTCGTGAGTACTTGAAACTTTTGAAGTAGGTATCTATAATATTAATTATTATATTTTATACATACAATCTTTTCAGCAAAAATGTATTCAACCAATAATAATACCAAGCAATAATGGATATCATAAAATATACTTAGTCTTTATATGAAGCCTAATTATTGGTAGGCTGCATACCGCCTTTGCTCAGAATCGTTCTTCGTATTCAATAATATATTATCCAATTAAAATTGAACACATCCATTACAGTAACCACATTACATCCTTTAGCTCAAATAGAGTTTGAGATTTGGAGGGGGGAGATCAGAGAGCTGTTGTAATAAGCTAAATATAATTATTATAAAGTGCTTTTGACATATTTTGGGAGGCTTGACCCCTAAAGCCCCCCTTTTTTGCGGTTATGACGACACCTAATATACAGCATATCGGTAGGTACCCACTACGCACTTGCCCGCCTTTTTAAATTTGTAGAAAACGAAAACACCATTCGTTAAATAATAAATACAACAAATAACAAGTAGGTAGTACTAGTAACTAGGTATATATAGTCTTTACTAAAACCTTATTGTGTAGGTAACTTTGTAGTTTGTGTAATCTGTAAACATTAATTTGCCGTTGTATTACGTCAGACCACAAAGATAATGATTGCTGATTATATTACCGATAATTGCTTTTGACGTAGAATTCGTAGTTGACCGTCATATTATTATTATTATTACGACTTTTGACGTATAACTCCCGACCCACGTGTGTGTATATTTAGAAACGCATTTGATAATAATATTGTTACGATCGACCATAATAATATTATAATATCGATTCTACGACTAAAACACCGCTTATTGATCTGAACGAGAGATTTAATTTGAAGGTAATACATAAAATACGAATATTTTATTTCAAATAGAAAACAATAAAGTCCCATATTATAATATGTATTTTATTTTCTGTAAATTTAAATAAAATACATTTTTCTTTATTTATTGTCAAATAATTAAAAAACAGCCCCTGGGATGCAGCTAACTCCACCCAAAATCCAGCCCTGTCAATCTACTGCAAAGTAGCCTTAGTTTTCCGTATTTTTTCTTTATATACCCATTTCTTATTATGGTGACTAGACGTACTTTTTTTCGTTGAACAGTACTTTGTTAAGTGAGTTAGAGAGCCAACATTTAAAATATACCTCCTTTTTTGGATTTTTAAATCTGCTGTTGACCGTCACTATATTATATACCTATCATCATTGTGAATATTATCACAAAATAGTATGTTGTAATGACATATGATTATAAATTATAATTAAGTTTTTCCGAACAATAATTAGTGGTAAAAACAAACGGTTTAGATGATTTTCACCATTGTTTATTATATTATGGAATGCTCTAAACGACAATGTTGGGGGTGGGAGATTATTGGGGAGGTTAGGTTTTTTGACAGTCTTGTAAAGTATTCGAATACAAGTATTTAAATACTTGTATTTAATGTATTTTCTAAGTATTTTGAATACTTTTTAAAAGTATTTTTAACAAAATTTAAATACTTGTATTAAAATAAAAAAAAGTCCATTTTATTAATATTAATTTATAGTTTTTCACAAAAAATTGACATCAATAAAAATAATTTTGTTTTTGTTGAAAACTAATATTATGTTTTTGTATAGTAAAAGTAGGTGATAACAATGTTTAAAATTAAAATAATACCACATCAAATTTTATATAGTTTCTGTACTAGAATTTTTTAAGAAAACTGAAAATCTAATAATTTTAAAATAGTTCCATATTAATAGTTAATACCACTTTTTGTTTTATTTTTTTCCTTAAAATTTAATTAATATTAGTGAAATATATTATCTAAATGCAGAATGAAATATGTGAACATGTATTTATCAGTTATCTGTAAATAGTCAGACGACAGACATGTTAATAGTAATTGTTAAAATCTTTGGTTAGTATAGTAACATAATAGGTATACCTATACTGATGTACAATATATATTATATATTTATATAGCATAAAATTAAAAAAAATACTTGTATTTTTGTATTCAAATACTTTGTGAGTATTCGTAAAATACATTTTATAATAGTAAATTAAAAGTATTTTTAATACTTTTTTTATTCAAATACTAGTATTAGTATCTTAATACTTTTTCAAAAGTATTTTTTACAAAACTGTTTTTTGAACTAAGAGAGTTAACATGCTGTGGATAATTTTCACTAAAAAATTACCTGAAAAGTGTCCGTTATATTTAACAAATAGCAACTAGGTATACAAAAAGTTAAAAATTTATAAAAGATGATTCCTAATAAAATTAGTAATTGTTTTTGTTAACTATTGATGCATCAAAAAATAAAATTAATAATAATAATTCATTGCAAAATACAGATAAGATAAAGTAATAACTGAAAATAAAATATTCTGTGAGTCATAAATAAAATGTTATATTAAATTTTTTATGAGATTATAGATTATAGTCGTTTTAAGATTAATTGTACACTTTTTTTTTATAATTTTCACTAAATCCCACTTAACTTTTTTTTATAGCAACATAACACAACCCCATATCAAAGCTCACTTGACTATCTGAGTGTAATATATGGAATACTTTATCAACCATAATATTATAATTCATTAATTTAACTGTATCATGTATACTGATACCCAAAATGTTGAAACAATAATATTTACTAGGAGTTATATAAACTAAAATATGTTATAATAACAAAACAATAAATTTATAAAAATATTTTATTTTAACATAATTAAAAATTTTACAATAATAATCGGATACTTAGTAAAAAATAAAATTTAATAAATGCAATATACTTTATGGTGAAGTTTTGTCGGATGAGGTAGGTGTATGACTTTTTGGTTCCTTTTCAAGAACAGTTTCTATTAAATTTTGTAATGTCTGAAAATTGAAAACTAATAGGTACATTCACTGATAAAAGAGATTTACTTAATGGAATGTGTTATGAATTTATTAAATATAAATATCCATTGAAGCATAATAATAGATAAAAATATTCAATACAAAATAGTATTAATACCTATATTATTATGTTATACAGTAAGTCTATCTCAGAGAATACATTTTATAAATTGTTAAATTATATTTTGAGTTTATTTTTACTTTTTGATTGTCAAAAATATTTTTTAAATTAGGTAAAAAAATATTCACCTGAGGTTTACAGTGTTCTTCAAGCCAACTGAACACGCAAGCAGAAAGTTCAGTAAAATTGTTAACATTAATATTACAAAATGTAAAAAACAATTCATCGATAATATTCTGAAACTAGAAAATACAATTTATATTAGCTACAAAAATAATAATACTAAGATTGCCCAAAAGAAGAATTTATTTATTTATCATACATAAATAAGAGAAAGAAATATAGCAAAAGAGAGAGAGGGGGGGGAGAAAAAGAAAATCAAACTAAATCTTTTAAATAGACCGGAATTAGAAAGATTAAATGATTATATTGATTACACATGAGGAATTATCTATAGTGAAGAAAAACCATAAAAGGTAAACATTTTAAGTTAAAATTGGTAACAAAGCCATTATATCTTCTTAGAATATTTAGAAGATGAAAGTATGAAAGTAAAAGATCTCAGATTAAATTAAGTGTATAAATGTATAATTTTGAGTAAGTTTATTTTTAATTAAATACATATAAATTACATTTGAGAAAAAAAATTATTTAAAGCAACTATAATTACCATTTGAAATTTTTCTTCATCGGGTATTCTAGTTTCAACGTGACCCATTGGAATTTGTTGAGCTTTTACCATTTGCTCATAATTAGCTTGCATAATTCGTAATGCAACAACTTCTTTCCGTAAAGCATTTCGTTCTTCTTCTAATTTTTTCTTTTGCAACAATAAATACTAGTAAAATAAAAGTAATATATGAATAACAATAAACATTTGGTACATATTATAATATTATATATTTTATATAGGTATGTATATGTGTGCGAATGCAATATACTACATAGTAAGAATACTTTGAAATACATATGTATGGTTAAAACATGTTGTTTATTATAAACATAATATTAGATATTGTGTTTATTATAGCAGGTAAAAAATTTAGTACTATCATAAGATATTATAATCCTTATCTTGAAAAAAAAACATTATGAAATTTATTTATTATTTTAATCTTCTAATTGTCACTTTTTATTTTAATTAAAATTTTAAGTTAAATTGAATTGTTTAAAATTTACTTGTATGTAATCTATGGATTTTTGTAATACTGTGGCTTTGCTTAGTTTATAACCACTGCTATCGGTTTGCTGACAAGTTGGAACTAAATCTTGTAAGCAATCATAGCCTTTTTTTATGGCATCACGACGTTTTTGTTCAGCTTGGGTATGAGCTTCTCGTCGCCTTTCTTTGTAATTATTTGGTGAACCTTTTTCTTCACTGTCGTCATCTTCTACAAATATAGAAAAACAGGTAAAAAAATATAAGTTTTTAACAACAATAATAGTTGTAATAGTTGATAATAATAAAAGATGAAAAGAGGCAAGCTGCTAAGTAAATAATGCTTAGTGTAAAATATTTGAAGAAAGAATGAAAACTCAGATATGAAGTTTTGGAAATTACTAAGATTTAACTTACAATCTTATTATACTCCCTCATCGGTACACCTACAATTAATTATGAAGAGACACCCAGTTATAGACTGTGATACTACTGACATCGACAATCCAGATGGGCCAATTCTCTCATCCTACACTATTGTATAAACTCATCTGGTATAAGTTGTTTTTTAACGAATTCTGCACATCGGGATTACTGGCAACGTAACTAAAATCATGGTTAAGTATTATATAGTATTATTATTAATTTAACTACGTTCATTATGAAAAATAAGAGAATTATTGAATACAAATGTATACATGTTCAAGGAAATGTACCTAATGGTTCTAATATAATAACGAGTATAATAATGTACATAATTTAATTACAAATGTCTGATATTTATTAGCATTTTAAATTTATAAATTTAATAAAACATAAAAATAAATAGGCTTAATTTTACAACTTGCCTACAAAGTTTAATTGTTATTCAAATACATACCATGACCACTACTACTACTATGATTTCCAGCATGTAGGGAACTCCCACTACTAGATCGACTAAATGGATTTGTATTTCGTATTGGACTAGATGGTTCAACCTTCATATCTAAAGATGTAAAAATGTACATTTATAATTAGTAAAATATAAATGTTTGGGTTAAAGTAGTATAAAATACCAATGCCATACCATCACTATCTCTAGAATCCATGATTTCTTTTTAATGGTTGTAATGCATCAAATATTTTTATTAATCTAAAAAATAAAAATATGCCTGTAAATATTGTTATTAATGAAATTATTACATACAAATTAAGTATAAAGAAGCCATAAATTCCTATGTCAGGTGATATTAGAAGTGTTCATTTAATTGTATGGTACATTATACAATCTTGGGTTCAGTTAGTTTAAATTAAATGAAAGAAACTATAATGTGTATGGAAGGATCTTTACTCTAGAATCTTTAATATATTGACAGCAGAATAATATTTTTTAGTTTCAATAACAATTAAATTGTATTATATTTAGTTAGGTATTTGAACTATTAATAAATATTTTTTAAAATATCAAAATAAAATATTATTTTAAAATCAGAAATTGTATAAATAGGTACTAAAAAAAACTTTAATATGCATATTTTTAGTTCAGTAGGACAGCAAGACCCACAACACTTTATACAATATACTACTAATTGATTTAAAAGCTTTTTATTAGCCATCTGTTGATGTGCTTGTGAAGTTTCAGGGGTGGTATATAGTGATATATAGTGCCCTACACTTTTTGAAAATTTAAATAGTTTAAAACTGAAATGATTTTAAAAGCAGTTTTAAATATTTGTCAATTATTAAATGTCTGATAAGTGATATTATATAAGATTGAGCAGAGGTAGTAGCGACTGCAAAAAATTGGTAAAAATTAAACAATTGATTAGTGGACAAACTCCTATAATATTTATAATTGCCTTTACTACCACTACATTAAGTACTGTATAGGAATTATAGTAAATGTGTTTTATTTTGTTTTTATATTATTGAACTGTTAAGAAAAAATATAAATATATCTCCCGCCACTAGGAATAATTAATAGTAGCAGAATTTAATGTCAAGAACACCCGTGGTATTGCTTATTAATTTCTAATTAAATTTTTTTTTTTTATAATGACTATTAATAAAAATTAAATTGCACTCTATAAACGGCCGAATAATCACTGTCATTATATAGATAAAATAAAAAAATGTAATTTACCAATCCCGGAGAATTTGTCTGTCATTCCGCCGGCGACAATGACCGGCGACTCACTCACTGTGTCACTCGTAGTAGATGCCTCTCACCTCTTACCAAGGAGGTGTGGAGAATGTTACCGACACCGAAAACGTAGAAATCTGAAATCTGAATAACTAATAACGATTGACGAGTTATAATTCGCAAGCAAAGAAACAGTTAAATTTAAACGTTTAAAAATAATATTTTTTATGTGCGCTGCATTAAACGGTAGCGCCGCCGTCGCCACGGTGTGTGTTTTTTAGCGAACGTAACAGCACGACCGCCGTCCGTCGGGAAATGGATAGAGAGCCATAATAATATATAAGACGCGGTTACGTGCGGTTGTACTGTAGACGACGGCGGCGGTGACGAGTGATGGTGGTCCGTCGGAATAGGAAACGTTCACTACGTCCTCTCTCGATTTTGATACGAGGCATGCGACGATAAAGAATTAATAATATTACTAATTATAATATTATATTATAATAGTTGCATTATCTTTTGCAAATTTGCGATTGCGATAATAATTGTCAAATATGGTAATGATTCTTGTCGTGCAACGTTGTCATTGGAGGGGGCCCCCCTCGTACCGGCTTATATCACCTGTAGAGCGGCGGCGTTCAGCTCGTGGAATGATACGCCGATGATAATAGAAACGCTGATAACAGTTTTTATTATTATTGTTATTGTTATTATAAAAATTGTTGTCGTCGTCGTTGTTTATGGGATATTGGGAAGACGGTCGCGTTATTACGGTTACGTCCTTATGTGTCGCAACTATGATATAATTATACAATTATTTACAATAATAATTAAATAGGTACTAAAAAAATATTCGTTTGAAAACAAGTCCATTATACGTCTTTACATATTTCATTCCCTGAGACTTAAAAAAACAATTATTTTTCTTAGGTAGTTATCGCCTATGGGTAGTAATTAATACTTATTAAACCTAGATACGAGGTAGGTATCTAGTATCTACATATGCATATGGCTACATGATGTATTAATTAGGTATCAATTATTACCAGTGGCGTACACAGCTATTTTCAATGGGGGGGGGGGGCTTACATATAAAAAAATTATATATATAATACATTGATGAATCAAAACGATGTACCTATAGTAATTATTTTGTACATAATGAGTAATCGGTTCATTAGCAATGACTTAAGGTGAAATTAAAAATATTTTTACAATTCTCGATTATTATTTAAAAAATATATTCCTATTACCTATAGGTAATTATTTAGTATAACTACAAAGTTACACGCGTACATACAATATGTATATAATAATATATTATATACAATTCAATAAAAGATAGGTATAAAGAGAAATTTATTTTTACCATATTAATCATTTTTTTGTACCTAGGTCCTAGGTTGATAATATAATGTATTAAATATTTACCTGGTTCCTCCGAGTTAATTGTATCATAAATTAGTGAGTTAGAAAAATATTCGTTTATTCTTTTCATTTTTATTGTTTTATAAAATATTTAAACAGTAAGTACAATTTACTAAACGTCCAGAGCGTCAGGATTGAAAACTGAGAAATAGATTCTATACTATAGTATTAGCGATACTGCGATAGCTATTAAGGCATATTATATCGGATTACACGATTGTCGACCCTCATGTTTGTGTTTGAACAAATTTCCCAATAATTTCATTAATTTGTAACAAGTTATCAATAATATCTACAATATATTATAACAACAAACTGGGTTGCTTATAAGTTATAAGTTATAATATAATGGAGTATAATTTGGAATATAATATTTTTTTAAATTGTCATCATTTTTATTATACATTTTTACGTTATTACGTAAACTGAAAAAATACTAAAGGGGGGGGGGGGTTTGAACACCCAAACCCCCCCTCCCCGTGTGTACGCCACTGATTATTACTTAAGATAATAAGACCAACACTAAATTTCCTCTTCTTTTTACAATTTTATATTTTTGTATTCACCACAATAGGTTAGCCCTACCTATTATTAACAATTAATTTTTTTTCAAAAACTTATTTTGAATTTGCTTTAGGATCTTTTAAGGTCAGAGGTTTTCAAACATTTTTTTCAATAATGACAAAAAATTAAACTATTCAAGGTTGAAGGTATTCAAAATTGCAATAAAGTACATATTCATAAGGAACATTAAGAATGTACAATAATAATAATTTATATTTTACAGTATTTAGTATTTACTATAAAATAATATTAGATAAGTTACAAACATTATAGGTAGTTAAAATTTTATTTATTCATTTTCCGCACTACCACCTGCCTCCCAAGTACTACCATGTAGCCTTCAGCTTACCACCAGTGGTACGAGGACCGGAGTACCACAGTTCGAATATAGATGTTGTAAATTGTAATATAATTTGTAAAAAGTATACATTCATTATTTTTCCACGTTTTTATACATGTAATAAATAGAGTTATATTCTCTATGTTAATTTAATTTAATTAAAAAAAAGTTAACATGTTATCAAAATTGGAGAAAGCTATACCAGCATATAAAACAGAATTTCCCAAAGCATCCTAAGTTAATCATAAATTCACAATAGTAATAACTAATAAACTTATTATTGAAAGTTTGCTGCAGTTACGTAGACAATTTAAGAGAATGTTCCTATCCAGATTTGATTTTCCCACGGCAAACAGACAACAGTATACCTAACCTACTATAATCATAATTAGGTAATTACCTACCTATACCTACTAGCAATTATACCAGATGGTGACCGCAGCTAAGTGGCAATTTGAATAAAATACTATAACGAAAACTTTCAAAAAAAAAAAAAAAAACATGTTATGTAAACCTTTATAATCGAGACCATATCTTAGTACTTACTTACCTACTTCTAACCTTGTGGTTTGTACATACTACATATTTGTACATATTTTGTCTAAAGCATTTTTTGATTACAAACATACCTACCTATCTTGTTTTTTTAAATATTAAATGGTACACTAAATAGTTAAATACCTAATCGTTCTTAGATGCATTAAAATAAAATATAGAATGCAAAAACAATATTACAAGGTATTATGGGCTTACAATTTACAGACAATGAGACGATCAATAACTCACAGTTTTCGATTTCTTCGTAAATTGGTCTGTTGTTCTATCTAGATAACCCATGCCCTATACGGCTATACATCAACTTATTTCGACTAACAAGTGACTATATACCTATTATAATATAATGTTCACAATGTCACATTAATAATTGTTGTAGAAATATTTTGTACAAAAATACTCTATGATGAACAATAGAGGTACCCCTATTGGAATTAATTAAAACAATTAGTATTTTGTGTCATTCGTACATTTTTTTTTTAAGTAAAAAGTGATAACACTGCCAAACCTACATAATAAATAACTAGCCTGAGTAGCTGTGAGGTATAGGTACATAACTATTTTCCATGGCAAATAATGAGGATCGAGGATCAGTAGAAAAACTTTTGTATCAATGCACAAATAATGTGCGTTTTAAAGTTCTTATATTTTATAATTTCCTAAAAAAATAAGTATGTAGACTTATGTTATTCAAGTTAAATAGGTATGGTTGTATATTATATTATTATTAATGGTTTGCAATAACACATAAACATATTTAATACACTTATTTTTAAAATGTGTACACTAAAACAATGAAATTATAAAACTTAATTGTTTGCAATTTATTCGTCTATTATTTCTTTAGAAGTAGGTAATAGGAATAATTACCTCGTTTTACTAACATCGTATATGGACCCCGGTAGGCGCTAACTAGTATAAGTGAGATTGGTGATTAGATCTATAACTGTCAATAGGTAGATATATTTTCAGTATAATATTATAATATTGAGTAGCTGAGTAGGTGGGTATAGTAAGTTGTATTATGTCAAATTCGTATGTATTGGCACTATATATCATAATATGTGAAGTATATAATA